CGTCGTAAATAAACTTTTGCGCTCTTACGGACACAGTGATAGGTCTTGTGTATCTTCTGATCGAGAATAGAGGATAAGCGCCGGGATGTGGAATAATCTGTCTGGTTGACCTGGCAGTTGATTTTTGCTCGATGAAATCCCATCTTAATCCGAGGAGTGCTGTGTTATGATTGTCATCAAACTGTATCCTCTCTCGTAATCCAGGCGTGAATTTCAGACATTCTTGCTGCTGTGGCTAGCGATAGCAGAAACAGTGTTTTCTGTGAGAGAAATTCAAAGTTTGTCGATTCCAAAGGTTCATAGACCTCACTTTCGTGAGGTGTTGTAACACTACATTCAGATCCCAAGCTGGAAGTGGAACTTCCGCTTTTGGTCCTCCAATCGGAAGCTCGTAGTAAGGCCAGTAACTCTGGAGATCTTGTCAATTTGACACCCGTTCTCATGGTGATTACAGAACTAAAGTAGCGGCAAGATATGTTGATATCGTTGAACCTTTTAAATGTTTGTTTTGGTAGGTAACACAAATAGTCTGCCACTTGAGGTTGTGAAGCCTCTCTTGCTGTAAACCCTTTCTTTGTTGCATAATTTTGAAACTGTGCCACTTGTCGTAGTACAAGTTACGAGTTGAGTAGCGTAAGGCAAAAGCGTGACTGCTTTTGCCGCCCTGGCAGAATATCCTCTCTTGTTTAAACACATTTGTATACAGTCCATACGTGTAGTTGGAACATTGCTGGGTTTCCGTGCACTTGTTTGGTGTGAGGATGAATTAACAGGTTTTGCTGGCAGGTAGCTCCAGTGTTGGTTGACCCGATTTCTTGAATTAGTATGGGAAACCACGTTCTGGCCGGCCAGTAGAAATTAGCAATGACCAAAGTGAGTTGTAGGCTCTGTGTTTGTCTGATTTTCTGTAATACTTGAGGTATTATTGCTGGCGGCGGAAAGCAGCGTCGCATTGAGGCCTTCCATGATAGACTTAGGCGTCCGTTGCCCAAGCTTTGGGGTCTGGGACTGGTGACACGAATGTCGGTAGCTGATTGTTGAATGGCGTGGCGAATAGGTCTATTGGCGGCTCCTAATTGCTTGATTATCTGTGCAAAATTTCCCTGTTGATCATCCACTCTGTCGGTGATGGTAGATGAGGCGAGAGCGTCTGCTAGTATATTTCTGGCTCCGGGAATGTGCACTGCTCTGACATGTAGATTTAGATCTTGTATTAAATCGAACAGTTGAAAGCTTAGGTTCAAAAGGTTCATCGATCTCGTTGAGCCTTGCTTGTTTTATGTAGAGCGCCACTGTCGAATTGTCTGTATGGATCATTAGTAGCATTTTGTAGAAATGTGCTCCAATGTAGAATGGCGTTGATTACAGCTTTCATTTCTAGACTGTTTATATGGAGTTTGCATTCTTGCTGATTCCATAACCCTGATATCGTGTGGTTGGTGAGATGAGCTCCCCAACCTTGGAGTAACGCGATCTACATACAGATGGGTTTTGTATTCCTGCTCTGCTAAACAAATCCTTAATGAGACATTCGATTTCTTGGTCCACCATAGTAGATGCGGTCTGAGATGTTTGGTAGACTGAATGGTTGTACATCGTTGAGATGTGCGTTGATGAGACCTGTAGGGGGCGTAACTGTAATCTGCCTGTGACAGTCATGTCTTGGGCTGATGTGAGAAGACCTAGTAGGCTCTGCCATTGTCGCGAGTGGTAGCGGAGAGAGTAGAGCTGGTGGAATGGTCTGCTGTATCTTGAAGCCAACGGTCTTCTGGTACCAAAATCACGGTTGCGATTTGTGATGAATCGAATACCTAGGAACTGCAGGTCTTGCGATGGTACTAGGTCCGACTTGCGTAGTTTACTAACCAACCTAATTGTGTTAGTAGCTTTATGATGTAATTTAACTGTAGTTTGAGGCGAAAGTGGATCTTGATCTACTTGTATCCCGTCGTCGAGGTAAAACGCACTCGCGCGTAGCCCTTGGCGATGTAGAAATTTGATAATCGGTTTACGTTATCCTCGTGAATAGCCAGGGGCTGATGATATTCGAATGGGAGTACTTTCCACTGGTAATGTAGCCCTTCTAGAGTAAATCGTAGGTATTTCCTGGAATCGGGATGAATGGGGATGTGCAGGTAGGCATCCTGTAGATCTATGCTGCCCATGTAGTCCATAGAGATCGAATCATCTGGCGTAACTGAGGTAAATGTATCATCGCGAAACTTCGTGGTTTTGCGTAGATAGTTCTTGTTGAAAAAGCTCATGTTGTAGATGAGTCTGTATTTCTCCGTGGAGTTTTTCTTGGGAACTAGGAAAAACTGGGGAGTAGAAACCTGGTTCGACGTTTGCTTGATCTATTACTTCTATGGCCTGTTTGGTTAGGAGTGATGAAACAGCCTCTCTTATCTTTGGTAGTTGTTAAGCTTGTAAATCGAACTTGGGGGTTTGATTGTCAGCGGAGGCTTGGCCTGTAGGGGATCTGAAATCCGTGTTGAAGAATGTTGGAGGCGTTAAAAGGTCTTGCAATATTCCCCCAGTTTTCCCAGTGTAGTTGGGAGGCGTCCACCCACTTGAGCTGGCTGTACTGGAGGCGGCTGGGGTGGAAAGACTCCAGTCGATTCCGAACCTGTGTTTCAGCGTCTATAATCTGCGGGAACCTCTGGGTGTCCTGCCTCTTCCTGATCCTCCTCTATAGTTGCCGTATGGGCGACGAAAAGAATCTTTACCTCTAGAGCTGGCTATCTTCTTGTCTCTTGCTCTTTGTAGGCCCGTGAACTTAGATCTGCCTGAGTATCTTTGTGAAGTCTGACGAATGACGCTGGCTAGTGTGTCCATCGATCTAATCATAAGGACTTCCCTGGAATCTTAGAGACTTCCTTGGCGACTTTGTCGATTTCTCCGTCAAAGATGGATGTTGTCGACCACGGGGCTGTATAAAGTGGGGCTGTAAAGTTCTCCCCCCAATTACAGGAGGCGAGGAGGCCTTGACGACGAGCTAAGGTCAGTGCTGCTGAAACAGATGTAAGATGATCCGTTAAAACTGCTGATCTTTCTTTTGCATAAGTAAGGCAGAATAAATCATTCTATCATCTTCCGTCCGTGGAATCCCGGAATCTAGTAATAAGAGTCTCATTGATCGTCCTAGATCTATTTAACCCAAAGAACATCACGTCGATCGTCATGGTTTCTATATGAGCCAACTTGCGATCATCCATCTTGTAAATCTTGTTCTTTACATCGCTGATGATCTTATAGTTCTCATCGATGTCCTGGGCCTTGTAGAAGGAGTCCATGTTATGCGTGGAGAACTTCTTGGCTTGAAAGTTGGGCAGATGTGGTATCTGAACTTTCGTAGCTTTCTGGAAAGCTGCATCTAGATTCTGTGGCACTGCCGCATAATCGGGTCGATCGGGGTAGAGTGATTGCATCTGGATCATCTTCCTTCATCAAATGCGTCTCTGCTGTATTGCCACTTTTAGATGGTGATGTGAGATCTAGGTTATTGACCATCCAATACCGTATCTCTGCATCAGAAAATATGATTCCTCCATCATCCTCAAAACCATCATCATTAACAAATTGTAGATGCTCCGGGACTGCGTGTAGCTGTCTGTATATCTGATGAGGTTTGTGGCGATCTAGTTGACTTGTCGTATGCGCTCTATGTGGAGATCTGACGGGTGATCGACCTGGTGATGAAGCAGAAGTGGAGATGCGTCTATGGGATGATCTTCGGAGACTTGTGAGGTGAATGTTGATAGCTTAGCGAAGCTCTTCGGCAGTCCTCGATGTTCTTCTAGATGATGAAGATCTGGAATCATATGTCCTTAGCGAATGCCTTAGCGAAGCTTCATTTGCGTCGGTCCGGGGATCGATGATATGACCTTCGCGAAGGCTTCCGTGATGTCTGATGGTCTGAGTCCATATCTAGAGATGAAATCGAAGATGGTGATGATCTCTCCGCCCAGCAGGAAGGCCTTGAAGGCTGTACATCTAGGTCCTTCGTCAAGGTGTTCGCGGGACTTCCTTCAGCGAAAGGTGACATCGTCTTGGCTGCTACGTTGACGGGGTGCCTCTGGGGTGCTGTCACGTTGGAGCCTTCAGAAGGCTCGGACCCTGCTTGCGCAGTTGTAGTGGTCCTCCATGATGTTCATAATCTGCCGCATCATGTCTTCTGGGATGATCTGTAGACGAAGTCGTCGGCGTCTTTTCTCGCGATGGGGTTCACATCAATGACGTCTGACGTCGGTGTAGAGGCATCAGGCTGCATGGTGATCTCTGCAGAAGTCACAGTCGCTGACACGGTCGCTTCTTCTGCCGTAAGTCGGGGATGATTATCGGCTGATCATCGTAGAGGCCCAATTCTGCTGCTGGAGCGATCTCGGCTGAGAAAGTTCTTGCTGTCTTCGTGGATTTCCCTTTGGAAGTCTGCGCTGCTCTGGGTGTCCTCAATCTGCGTTGAGGCGGCGATGAGGCCCTCTTAGACTTGGTCTGCAATGGCCGAGATGTCTGGGGAGGCGGTCGTTTCTTCGAGGTAGCGGACTGCGTCCCACGTTCCTCTGCCGCGGGGTCTCTAGCAGAACACCAGGCGGGAGAGGGTCGATCGCTAGCAGCTGACTGGATGGAATATCTGGACTCTCTGCCATGTTTTGCCCTTGTTTTGCGTGATCTATCTGCAGCTTGCGTCTTAAACGCAAAGGTGATATTTATTAAATGCAGAATGAGATAAATTAATGCAGTAACTGCAGCGTGAATCGCTTGCAGTAGAACAACTAGGGCATATTACATGTGGATGGGAGGCAGAGAAAGCGTAATCTACAAATCGTACAGATTTTCATCAGCGTAAAGCTAACTGAACAATCACGAATACGCGTGAATAAACAGTAGAAATACGATAATTAATCAATACAAATAGTAAAGGATACTAGCTATACCTCTATAGTAACCTATGAGAGGTAAAACTAAGAGATTATCAAAGGATATGGTGTGTAAGGAGACACAAAGGCTCTCACATCCTGCTCACTGGGTGAAGAAGGAGAGAGTGAAGCACATGGCCAGAGGGTGGCGACACCTTTCCGCCAGGGGAAGCAAGGGGAGCAACTTCGTGGTGAGTACCAATTAGTGATTTTATTTTGAAGGGAGCTTCAAATAAGGAGATACAAGTGTTCCACTATGTTCGCAAGAAGAAGAAGACAAGCAAAAGAGCATGAGTCAGGATAAGGAAAAATATGATAATATTACACTCATGTCAACCTATTACTTTAAGAAATAATGCTTGCCAAGATTCAGATATAAGATATGAAAACATTGATATATCGATCATCATTTTTTAATCTTAGAAACTCAGGAGATATTTTCCAAACACATTTCTCACTTGACACTGAACATACAGGTTATGTTTCCAGCTACTGAGTGTTGAGGATGGTTAAGAAGGTTGTCAACCAGTGAGACAAACTATATTACCAAAGGAAAACCAAGTTCTATGGACAGTCAACCTCTTCATTGCAAATGCAAGCACTCATTGCAATAAAGAAGTTGACTATCCATAGAACTTGGTTTTCTTTCATCTTTACAACTTCTAAAATGCCTCTCAAAGAAGTTATATTATTGAAGGAATTCTATCCTTGAATCATATGAAATTATGGTAATGTCAGTTGAAATGACAAATGTATTTCCATATATATCTGCAGAAAAGCATGGACATTGCCTGAACCAGCTGCACACACCATGGCTATTCTATATAGCCAGTCAACAGGCCTGCACTCATGACGGCCAGTGGTGATCTTTGTACACAGTGAACATTACAGAATAATGATCAAAGAAAACAGATTTTCCACTCAATTTCCTTCCAAGACAACTAATGATGTTTACAGGTCTGTTTCCTGTGATTTTCCATAGATCAAATACAAGTGAAAGTGGGAGATGTGAAAAAATAACACAGGGCATTCAATGAGGCATTCATCCTTACCAAAACCAACAAGGTCAATGTACTGCATTATCTTGTACTCTTGCCGTCAGTGCTAGACCTTTGGGTAACAGGGGATCTATATGGCTTATTTCCCTTGTTTCCGCCAAGGCTCTCAAGTAAAACACTATGTCGGGCCTCAAGACAAGCAGCTGTCTAAACCAGTTTCATTCCTGGCTGAAATAGATCTCAATTTGACACATATTCAATGCATGTAAATGAAAAAAGTATTTGCTGCCAGTTCTGCTGAGAAGACAATGATAGTGATATTGATTTATGTGTGTATATATACATGTACATATAGTCTCAGTGAGTTAAACATTTATGGCGCATTATTTCAATGGTATTGGGTTATTTCACCCCAAGCACGTTCACCCCAGCACAGTTTCACCCCCATACAGTTTCATCCCATTTTAGAGGTTGTTTCACCCCAGCAAATAATAACAATCATTATTATCAACTGTAAAATTGTTTCAATCTATGTATTCATCTATGTATAGTGTCGAAACAGCATATTCAGATTGTTTGAATAATTGTATCAGTTCATACTGGCTGTGTTGGATCTGGTGAAGTCCTATGCAGACACTATAAACAAGTAAATAATCAGTTTTTGGGAGATATATTAATTTAGTGACAGTTGTGGGAGGAGATATAGATTAGGAACAAATCGGTTTATTTTGCTGATATTTCATTTTAGGATGTTAGGTTAGCGGGGTAGATTCAACAGGAGGGTTAATGGTATGGAGTTGTGAAATAGAACTTATGTAGGTACGAGAAATAGGTAGGGCTGGGTTTTTTAAAGGTTTTCCTGTACAGGCTTATCCCTTTATTAATTTTTTACACCATTTTTCTTTAATAAAATGAATGGAAACTTCATTTTCTTGTGTTGTCTGTAACTGAGGAAAATTGGAACACCCAGCCAGGAACCTTTTACAGAACATGTTGGCAAGGAGTACTGACCACATAAAGTAAGAGAGAGAAAACACAACCCAAAACACTCAGTAGCCATCCGACCCTTGCCATATAGATCTACTTTGTTCTTGCGTCAATGGGCGTGTGTCTAGCACACCTCATGCGTTTGGCGCCTATTACACAATCATATAGCAATGATCTTGTTGGAGAGAGAATGAAGGGTAATTAAGCTTTGGATGTGCTAAGACAATCACACTTTAGTTTAAAGCCAACAGAGCAAATTTTTCACATACAGACCACTTTAAAACAGTACAGACTGTTTCACTGCCAGAACACCTGCCAAGGACCGCTCCAGGCAGTTCCAAAAATACTCTTCAATAAATCTACATTTCGACTTGATCGCTTTTAAAACACGTTGTGAAGTCAATACATCTGCACTAGGATCATGCATGTAAAATAACTGACAGTTTTGTAACAAGCTTTTCATGCTTGATACTTTATAAAACTTGAACTGAATATCAAACTGACCATTCATGATACAGCTGAAGAAGCAATTTGTTGGGACAGTCCTTCAACTCAGGTGCACTTACCAAACTGTTCAGAAGATATCATGGAGTATTCTTAGAATTAGGCCCAGGGCAGCTATAAAGCCCCACCTTTGTCATGAAACTTCATATACAATAACATACTGAAACCATTCTTGAAATGAGTGCCTCTAGGAACTAAATAGCCTCATAAGAATCATAACGCTAATCAAAAGAAGACTGGGAAACTAGATGAAATACATATATTCCACTTTTCAACATCACAGAATTAGAAATAACTCTTACCACTCTTACAACAAGTAAGTTTAAAAGAGTCCATGTTATGCGTGGAGAACTTCTTGGCTTGAAAGTTGGGCAGATGTGGTATCTGAACTTTCGTAGCTTTCTGGAAAGCTGCATCTAGATTCTGTGGCACTGCCGCAATCGGGTCGATCGGGGGTAGAGTGATTGCATCTGGATCATCTTCCTTCATCAAATACGTCTGCGCTGTATTGCCACTTTTAGATGGTGATGTGAGATCTAGGTTATTGACCATCCAATACCGTATCTCTGCATCAGAAAATATGATTCCTCCATCATCCTCAAAACCATCATCATTAACAAATTGTAGATGCTCTTGGCGGGACTGCGTGTAGCTGTCTGTATATCTGATGAGGTTTGTGGCGATCTAGTTGACTTGTCGCCGCTCTATGTGGAGATCTGACGGGTGATCGACCTGGTGATGAACGCAAGTGGAGATCGTCTATGGGATGATCTTCTCGAGACTTGTGAGGTGAATGTTGATAGCTTCGCTGAAGCTCTTCGGCAGTCCCTCGATGTTCTTCTAGATGATGAAGATCTGGAATCATATGTCCTTCGCGAATGCCTTCGCTGAAAGCTTCATTTGCGTCGGTCCGGGGATCGATGATATGACCTTCGGCGAAGGCTTCCGTGATGTCTGATGGTCTGAGTCCATATCTAGAGATGAAATCGAAGATGGTGATGATCTCTCCCGCCGAAGGCCTTAGCGAAGAGCTGTACATCTAGGTCCTTCGTCAAGGTGTTCGCGGGGACTTCCTTGGCGAAGGTGACATCGTCTTGGCTGCTCACGTTGACGGGGTGCCTCTGGGGTGCTGTCACGTTGGAGCCTTCGGCTTCGGACCCTGCTTTAGCGCGAGTTTGTAGTGGTCCTCCATGATGTTCATAATCTGCGCATCATGTCTTCTGGGATGATCTGTGACGAAGTCGTCGGGTCTTTTCTGCGATGGGGTTCACATCAATGGCGTCTGGCGTCGGTGTAGAGGCATCAGGCTGCATGGTGATCTCTGCAGAAGTCACAGTCGCTGACACCGGTCAGCTTCTTCTGCCGTGAAGTCGGGGATGATTATCGGCTGATCATCATTAGAGGCCCAATTCTGCTGCTGGAGCGATCTCGGCTGAGAAAGTTCTTGCTGTCTTCGTAGATTTCCCTTTGGAAGTCTGCGCTGCTCTGGGTGTCCTCAATCTGCGTTGAGGCGACGATGAGGCCCTCTTAGACTTGGTCTGCAATGGCCGAGATGTCTGGGGAGGCCGGTCGTTTCTTGAGTAACGGGTTGCGTCCCACGTTCCTCTGCCGCAGGGGTCTCTAGCAGAACACCAGGCGGGAGAGGGTCGATCGCTAGCAGCTGACTGGATGGAATATCTGGACTCTCTGCCATGTTTTGCCCTTGTTTTGCGTGATCTATCTGCAGCACGTCTTAAGAGCGCAAGGTGATATTTATTAAATGCAGAATGAGATAAATTAATGCAGTAACTGCAAGCGTGAATTAAACGCTGCAGTAGAACAACTAGGGCATATTACATGTGGATCGGAGGCAGAAGCGTAATCTACAAATCGTACAGATTTTCATCAGCGTAAAGCTAACTGAACAATCACGATATACATTGAATAAACAGTAGAAATCACGATAATTAATCAATACAAATAGTAAAGGATACTAGCTATACCTCTATAGTAACCTATGAGAGGTAAAAACTAAGAGATTATCAAAGGATATGGTGTGTAAGGAGACACAAGGCGCTCTCACATCCTGCTCACTGGGCGAAGAAGGAGAGAGTGAAGCACATGGCCAGAGGGTGGCGACACCTTTCCCGCCAGGGGAAGCAAAGGGGAGCAACTCGTGGTGAGTACCAATTAGTGATTTTATTTTGAAGGGAGCTTCAAATAAGGAGATACAAGTGTTCCACTATGTTCGCAAGAAGAAGAAGACAAGCAAAAGAGCATGAGTCAGGATAAGGAAAAATATGATAATATTACACTCATGTCAACCTATTACTTTAAGAAATAATGCTTGCCAAGATTCAGATATAAGATATGAAAACATTGATATATCGATCATCATTTTTTAATCTTAGAAACTCAGGAGATATTTTCCAAACACATTTCTCACTTGACACTGAACATACAGGTTATGTTTCCAGCTACTGAGTGTTGAGGATGGTTAAGAAGGTTGTCAACCAGTGAGACAAACTATATTACCAAAGGAAAACCAAGTTCTATGGACAGTCAACCTCTTCATTGCAAATGCAAGCACTCATTGCAATAAAGAAGTTGACTATCCATAGAACTTGGTTTTCCTTCATCTTTACAACTTCTAAAATGCCTCTCAAAGAAGTTATATTATTGAAGGAATTCTATCCTTGAATCATATGAAATTATGGTAATGTCAGTTGAAATGACAAATGTATTTCCATATATATCTGCAGAAAAGCATGGACATTGCCTGAACCAGCTGCACACACCATGGCTATTCTATATAGCCAGTCAACAGGCCTGCACTCATGACGGCCAGTGGTGATCTTTGTACACAGTGAACATTACAGAATAATGATCAAAGAAAACAGATTTTCCACTCAATTTCCTTCCAAGACAACTAATGATGTTTACAGGTCTGTTTCCTGTGATTTTCCATAGATCAAATACAAGTGAAAGTGGGAGATGTGAAAAAATAACACAGGGCATTCAATGAGGCATTCATCCTTACCAAAACCAACAAGGTCAATGTACTGCATTATCTTGTACTCTTGCCCGTCAGTGCTAGACCTTTGGGTAACAGGGGATCTATATGGCTTATTTCCCTTGTTTCGCCAAGGCTCTCAAGTAAAACACTATGTCGGGCCTCAAGACAAGCAGCTGTCTAAACCAGTTTCATTCCTGGCTGAAATAGATCTCAATTTGACACATATTCAATGCATGTAAATGAAAAAAGTATTTGCTGCCAGTTCTGCTGAGAAGACAATGATAGTGATATTGATTTATGTGTGTATATATACATGTACATATAGTCTCAGTGAGTTAAACATTTATGGCGCATTATTTCAATGGTATTGGGTTATTTCACCCCAAGCACGTTCACCCCAGCACAGTTTCACCCCATACAGTTTCATCCCATTTAGAGGTTGTTTCACCCCAGCAAATAATAACAATCATTATTATCAACTGTAAAATTGTTTCAATCTATGTATTCATCTATGTATAGTGTCGAAACAGCATATTCAGATTGTTTGAATAATTGTATCAGTTCATACTGGCTGTGTTGGATCTGGTGAAGTCCTATGCAGACACTATAAACAAGTAAATAATCAGTTTTTTGGGGAGATATATTAATTTAGTGACAGTTGTGGGAGGGGGAGATATAGATTAGGAACAAATCGGTTTATTTTGCTGATATTTCATTTCGGATGTTAGGTTAGCGGGGTAGATTCAACAGGAGGGTTAATGGTATGGAGTTGTGAAATAGAACTTATGTAGGTACGAGAAATAGGTAGGGCTGGGTTTTTTAAAGGTTTTCCTGTACAGGCTTATCCCTTTATTAATTTTTTACACCATTTTTCTTTAATAAAATGAATGGAAACTTCATTTTCTTGTGTTGTCTGTAACTGAGGAAAATTGGAACACCCAGCCAGGAACCTTTTACAGAACATGTTGGCAAGGAGTACTGACCACATAAAGTAAGAGAGAGAAAACACAACCCAAAACACTCAGTAGCCATCCGACCCTTGCCATATAGATCTACTTTGTTCTTGCGTCAATGGGCGTGTGTCTAGCACACCTCATGCGTTTGGCGCCTATTACACAATCATATAGCAATGATCTTGTTGGAGAGAGAATGAAGGGTAATTAAGCTTTGGATGTGCTAAGACAATCACACTTTAGTTTAAAGCCAACAGAGCAAATTTTTCACATACAGACCACTTTAAAACAGTACAGACTGTTTCACTGCCAGAACACCTGCCAAGGACCGCTCCAGGCAGTTCCAAAATACTCTTCAATAAATCTACATTTCGACTTGATCGCTTTTAAAACATCACGTTGTGAAGTCAATACATCTGCACTAGGATCATGCATGTAAAATAACTGACAGTTTTGTAACAAGCTTTTCATGCTTGATACTTTATAAAACTTGAACTGAATATCAAACTGACCATTCATGATACAGCTGAAGAAGCAATTTGTTGGGACAGTCCTTCAACTCAGGTGCACTTACCAAACTGTTCAGAAGATATCATGGAGTATTCTTAGAATTAGGCCCAGGGCAGCTATAAAGCCCCACCTTTGTCATGAAACTTCATATACAATAACATACTGAAACCATTCTTGAAATGAGTGCCTCTAGGAACTAAATAGCCTCATAAGAATCATAACGCTAATCAAAAGAAGACTGGGAAACTAGATGAAATACATATATTCCACTTTTCAACATCACAGAATTAGAAATAACTCTTACCACTCTTACAACAAGTAAGTTTAAAAGAAATTTTCCTCATAGTCTTTACATCTAATCTGACCATTTAAGGGTGTGTTTTTTCGCCTGACCAGCCCTTGAATTGTTTGACAGGAATTGCTTAGAAGTATACAGATGACGAAGTAGACAAAGATAGTTCTGGCTACTAACTTCTATAGTACACTGTAACAGTGATGTATAGGCCTGTCTACCGTTGTTCAGGGTATCCTTGTTAGACAGTGGTATAAGCATTTGCTACTACAGTATGATAGATATCTTCTTTGAGAGGCATTTTAAAAGTTGTAAAGATGAAGGAAAACCAGGATCTATGGAACTTCTTTATTGCAATGAGTGCAATGTTTCGGCTATCCATAGAACTTGGCTTTCCTTATGAGAAATATGTTATACACATATTCTTTGGCTACGTGATCAAGCATTGTCTTTGAGGAAATCAAACCAGAATAGTGAAACATGCAGCCCCATACTCTCTACATGAGCCCTCCAGTACTGGAATCCAGGAACTTTGCCCACAGGAACTTTGCCCACAACAATTTTTACAGGGGAGGAACTTTGCCCACAATATAAATTTTAATACTCACCCATCTTAATACCCTGCTCAGGATGTGTTGTTTATAAAAGAGATTAAACATAAGTTGCAGTTCACCAAGGCTTCTCTGCTTGTTGGTATTTCTTTTTCTAATTACAATAAACACCTACCTTACTACTTACCCACCTTAATACCCTGCTCACAAATATGTTGTTTTTGAACTTCACCAAAGCTTGACAAAGCATATAAGGTTGTTTACAGATTTACAGAGCTTTACAAGATGGAAATTATAAGAAATAACAGAGGTGGTCAAAAACTTTGCTATGATGGATATATGTAAAAAGGTTTCAAGAATGTCCTATATTCATTGGGAATGTTCCCAAAGAGTGAGTTAGTGAGTTAAAATTTATTGTCACATCAGCAATATTTCAGCCATATCGTGACGAGAACAATTAATTGTTATACATAGTATTTAATAGTAAATTATAAAAACCTGTCAACGAAGGACAGTAAAATAACTAGAATATCACAGATATGAATTTAAAACTAGTAATACAATCTGAAACAGTTTAACTATAGATGACAGTACAATATAACAACAGGCTATAGATTACCAACAACTGAAGGTAGATCACCATACTAGGGACCATGGGGACTTACAGTACATCCTGCATGGGACCTAGCTGGATTTACATCATCCCTTCAGCTGTTATCAATTGAGACAAATCTAGCCATATATTAAAATTACACATATTCTACGATTAAAAAAGTGGAGTTTTAATTTACTGGGAATGTTTTGGGACTCAATGAAGAAAAGGGTTTAGTTGTAAGGGTTCAGTAACCACAACGTTTCGATTGAAAATATGATCAGTAAAAGTGAACATAGCCACAGTGGTGATGAAAACAAAGTACAAGCAGCAAAACTCAAAACTACCATGAAGGTTCATGCTACAGCTCTACTCAGGATGACCCAAGGCCTGCCACCACGAAAGAGGATGAGGATGGCGACTGTGACACTTTAAAAAAGACTGAAACAACTGTGTACTGACTACATCAACAACGAAAAAACAATGGAAAAATTTCTGAAGTCTGTTGGTGCCAATATTAGACTGAACTAAAACAATGAAGTACTGAAACAACTATCAGCAACGAAAAAACAATGGTTAAATGTATTAGAATGAACGATGAAGTGCTATTCATTTTTAACTATTAATGTGCTATATTATATGCTATTTCTGTGTAGTTTAATAAAATATTGTGGGCAAAGTTCCTCCCCTGTAAAAATAGTTGTGGGCAAAGGTCCTGTGGGGAAAGTTCCTTGCAGGCAAAGTTCCTGTCGGCAAAGTTCTGTACACCCCAATACTGATGCCCATCTTTACATGCATCCACGCAATTTGCAGCATCCACAATTAGCATGATCAAACTTATTCCTGAGATCCACTGAAGCATGTTAACAGTTAACAGGCTCAGTCAGTGAGTCTAGCTGTATTGTCAGAAAAACATTTCAACTTTATAAATATTGGATTAACAAGATATGACTGATGTTATAAACATGACATAACACTGTCTAAAACAGGTACTTCAATGAAATCAGACACCACAGACTCCAAAATACTGACTTTATATACTCCGTTTGTGCAACTGTATATTATGTTTAGCACTATCTTGTAAAACGTATACATGTACTAACCAGCTGTTTTAACTTTTTACCTGGAGAGGTATTTAAATAAGCAAGCTTTGCTTTGTTACCAATCCAGATTTCTTCGAAATAAAAATATGTTTGAACCAAATGTCACATTTCCATACTTAGAATCAGATTGGAATTTGGTCATCAGTTTCACAAACATCATTGTTGGGTGTAAAGGACAGGGTTTCAACTTCAGAAACACATGTTTCAAGACATGTCAGAAATGGAGAACATTTTAAATGAGGAAGAACAGGTCAGTGTACAAGTGTTCCAATGTCGGATAGATGAGGAAGAACAGGTCAGTGTACAAGTGTTCCAATGTCGGATAGATAAGGTAGGGCAGGTCAGTGTACAAGTGTTCCAATGTCGGATAGATAAGGTAGGGCAGGTCAGTGTACAAGTGTTCCAATGTCGGATAGATAAGGTAGAACAGGTCAGTGTACAAGTGTTCCAATGTCGGATAGATCAGGTCAGTGTACAAGTGTTCCAATGTCGGATAGATAAGGTAGAACAGGTCAGTGTACAAGTGTTCCAATGTCGGATAGATAAGGTAGAGCAGGTCAGTGTACAAGTGTTCCAATGTCGGATAGATAAGGTAGAACAGGTCAGTGTACAAGTGTTCCAATGTCGGATAAATGAGGTGAAAACACATGAACCCTTTCGACCCATATCTGCATAGCAATCAATGGACATGTTTGATGTGCTGCCAGTCTTTGATCACAACATAATGGAAAACCCTGAGTGGGTTGACTGTTATAGATTACAGATATACAACTGCAGGGTTTACACAATGAACACAGAAACCCACTTGCAGATATCTGTAATGCTGTCAGTCCACAGCTATAAAACTAATAGTAAACTGACTATAAAGGTGAATCATAATCAGCAATGGCAATTTGATCCCAACGTTGTATGGGTGCTTTACATAGCAGTTTGGCCTGATCACTGACAAGTTAGCCCTAAATCCCCAGCACCAGGGACAATAATCACCAACCTCATTACATCCACCATCCCCTATTGAGACAGGCTCAAACTAGATGTAATCTAAACACTACTAAACCACTAAATTACTTCTGCAGAAATGGCTGACAAACTGTGAGCAAGATTTGATGAGTAGACATTCATGGACCAATAGACCAAGAATACTTCATCATGAGGAATTCCACTTGCCTACCCTAAGATTAATGTCACCAACAGGTCCAAAGAGAATTACAAATGTTATGAATTGACCCCCCTCATAACACATTTGAAAGAGGTACTTGGAGTTTTCAATATATTTTTGAATATTCATTTCTTATCTACATGTACAAGTAAAAATACCAACTGTCTGAATTGCAGCATAACCTTTAGTTCATTTAACATACCGTCTGTCAGTTCTTCTAATGTCTTTTAATCCTGTATATCAAGCAGATGTTAAAGTCTGGCAAATAACTAACTTGTGTTTCTGTGAACCTTTCTTCATTTGGGGATAAATACAGCAATAGGTCAGAGTGGCAAAATGGATTTTATTTGGCTGTCTCATTTCCTGTCCAATCTAATGTTCACATCTTTCCAAAGATGCAGCTTTAACTCTCACCAGTCCACCATCTTATCTACACTGCCATGAAGTTTTCCCTTGGCCCTTTCAGCACATGTTTCATTCAGGCTGCTGTCTTTTTATCAGATTGTTATAGTGACTAATTGAGGACAGCCATCGTCCAAATATTTAAAAACTAAAAACTATGTACTCAAGACATGTGAGACTTTATTGTAATTATTTATATGACGCTAATCTGTATTCTATTTAATCCTTATCACTTCCGCATTGTACATTGACTTGTCAGGCAATTAATTACTGTATCTGACATTTATAACCTAATTGGTCATCCCCCTTGGCCGTGTCTGCAATCGCATCAACTGGTCAAGGAAGTGCTATTGTCCTTTGTTGAGTCATTGCCTGTCCATTGTTGTCAGAAACTGTATATATAACTTAGTATGCTCACATCTATACTGTGAAGGAAAACAGAGAATGACTTGGTATTCCGACTGTCTGTGTTGGGATGACCACAAACAGGAGAATACCGCTCATAGGAAATGCCCTGGGGTTGAGCAGGAACTCCTCTCACCTCATTTATGTCTTGTGTATTTGTTTGTCATGTAACTAAAGAAGTTTGAACTCAACGTATTCCTTCGTCTTGTCAACGTGTTGTATGTACACTTCATCTTAATTCCGCGCTAATTCCCCAGTTGACGCATAACCACGCGTTGACAAGATTATCACAAAGGAAAACACATTATAAGGTTCCCATTTTTACTACCCTGTTTACAAACTGTATCAGTGTCAATCCACAACGCTTGTGCTTGATCTCTACTGACAGTCTCACCAGGTTACCATTTTCAAGATATTTATGAAAAGCTCACAGGAACATTGGTTTGTTGAATGTCATAATGTTTCTGTTAAGTGGGAGATCTATGTATCTTCTTACCAGAAATGTCCTCAAAATAGTTTTGTGCTTTCTGCAAAGATGATGCTATTTAAAACTTGTACTTTTGATTGAAAAATACTTTCAATTCTGAATTTCTTGTTTCCAATTCAAGATGACAAATGACACTTTGGTCTCATATATCCTGATACAGTCTCATATCTCTTAGCTACATGGTTTCACGGATTGTGAAGATTTATATTTTTAATGGCTCTTTCTATTACTTGACGTCATACAACACTTTCAGCTGTCTGAACTTGACAATTCTGTGATTTGTCTAAAACTTAAAATGGTAACTTTAATCCTTAAATCTGTATAGGTAAAGCTGTATTAGTTTCAGCTATATCCATGTAACTGTGTTAGAGATAAAAACTAAAAGATAACAGAACAATGAGTGATAACAGATGTCTCATGCTAAAACTCAACTGGCCCTCTTCCCTCATCAGCAAATGACACTACACACACGACCAGCATATTGCTTAATGGTGGAACATTACACAGTATTTTGTTAAGCTTTTATGATTTTCGTCTGCTTTAGTACACCAACATATATAAACTTACTTTTGATAAACGTATCTTGCATTGTGCAAGATAACAGTGATTACTGAAAGTGTTATACTCAACTGACAATTAGTGTCTTGGTGCGCTCCCTTGTGCATACTACATAAAGTGAAGTTCATGTACCACATCAGTTGTGGATTTATTACACAATATTAGATCGAATAATTACCATCAGACACAAGAAAATAAGCACCACTGATTACTGTACCTGACACCTTCAGAGGCAGGGGTGAACGTTAATCAAGTGAATGATGACATACAAAGGTGTAAGGCTTATACTATAAAACAAGGATGAGAAAAAGGAAGTAGTAATTGTTGTAGTGAAGTTTGCCTAAAATTATATGTGTCTTCACAGTTTTAAGTTACAAGTATATGAAATGAACTTCCTTTTTGCAAAAATATATGGACACGTCTTTGCTGTATACTAAACTACATAACATATGTACAAGGCAAAAGGTTTAAATAAATTTCATCCAATCAAATGCAAAGATTCACTGGGATTCCCCCACAATGCCAACGAGGTCTTCGAACTGGTCCGGAGCCTAAGTTGTTGGGTCAGTAACACTCACTGGCATCTGGTGAATACACAGGATCATTAAAATGGCACTGACTAGATCGTGAAAGTTGGGTAGTTGTTTCCCATTAACTGAGTGGATAAGCAAGATACTGACTTCTTATTCCTTCTCCCCCCTTGCATAATGGCATTACCAGTAGCATGTCTTGCTGTTGAATCAGTAAGTAGAAAGGAAATCATTCTTGAATTCAATACTTTTTCCTTCGGGATCCAAGAAAGAGGTCCTTGTCCTTGTTGAAAAACATCATTAGGATTGAACAATGTGACTGTTCTAC